GTAGCCACCGCTAGCGCGGGAACTCGGCTGGCAAACTCGCGCTCTGATTGGTCGCGGTTTTTCGTTAATATCTCGTAAACGAAGCCTCAGTTTAAATTTTGGCTAAGGAAAAAGTTGTTCCAATTCACCCCCCGAGTGCCACATTTCCGGGTCGGAGGACATTTTTGGGACACCCTGTATATATCTATGAGTGGTACAGGGAACTCTCGATTATTGACTGATTGTTTATCGATGATTCGTGTCTAGGAGTCATCCCCACTACTGGGGAGAGGAGGAGGGGGGGGAGAGACCGTGGAACCTGACAAGCACATACTTTGTTGCCCCGGCGCGCCAAGGTGGCTTCCCATTCACGAGCCGACGACTGAACGTTGGCAGCCCACAAAAAGGTTACATTCCCGGGTGTCCGGGAGACAATACTAATGCAACGATAAAACCTTTTTATTTTTGGTTCTTTATTAATGACACTTTTATGAATATATGAGAGGTGAGATTTTTCTGATTAAAATAATATCAAATACGACACAATTTGGATCATATTTACTTATGTACATATGTAGAAAGTGTTAACAATTCATATTCTTTCATTACACTGTTCAATACGTACAATACCTCATAGATAGATCTTTATGAGCTGAATACGAATCTGCACATTTTTCCTCAGTACGTCCAGTTCTTAAAAAAATTAATTTTAAGCAAAAATTGGAAATTTCACCTTTAGAGGTGTGCTGTGCTTTTATAGTAACAGTTATTCAGTTGCGTTCGACACGAAATAATTCTCTGGACCCTCCCGCACAAAATGATGTAAATTGTTATTATATTATAGACAGCTAAATATGTGTAAATAATGATCAAACTGAATAGGACACCGAAAACGCATGAATTTTTGCTGATATTCTTCAATTTATTTAAAAAAAAAAATTATTTTCAAAACTATGGGTCTAGGAGGAAATCTAACCATAGCAAACGATAGAGAAGACCTATAAAATTACAAAATCTGTTTCGTTTTCAGTAGAGAAGCGAAATAGTTCAGCAGTACATACTTTTAGTATGTTATTGTATATCAGCGTAGTGTAAAGTACATAGTGCAATATGTATGTATACTATATGTAAATGTATATTTACTATAATAAGACGTACATAACTGTATGAACGAATTTTTATTTCGGGAACTATTACAATTGCAGACCAAAATTTGTTTCCTTTGTTTCACAGGAGCCTTTCTAAATATACTTTTAATTTTGTCGTATATATTTTTATTTTTGCAAAAACGAATCAGTGCTCACGTTTTTAAAAATCTGAAAAAAATATATGTTGTTCCTTCAATATTTTTTGATAAACATACTGTTGTGTTTTATATCTAATTGAATAGATTTATGTAGGCTTGTATTCACTCTGATACACTATAAACTTTATTCTCTATTAAAGATACACTTATCATTTACTATATACTATAATCAGGAACTTCGGATTTCTTAATAAGATACACATAGCAATATCTCGCATGCTTATTCAACGAAGACTTACATCACACTCTCTGCGTAGTCGCACCTTGCGCACACACATTCAGTCTAACCGGAAAACATCCAAAAAACGCGCCATCTTTATAATGACGCCATAAAATCGAGGAAACGCATTGTTAGTTTAAATTCCACAAAACAACACATACCTTATTATACAGTATCATCTCACAATTGTAGTCAGGATGGAGCTTCAAAGACATTCGGGTGTCACGCCGTTCCAATGCACAGCGCATGAAATTCCGGTTAAGTGTACAAGTACACGCTATTATTTCTTTAACCATTGAAAATATGAAAACATACAATGTTTTATACAAAAGTTGTTTGACTTCATGGAACAAACTTAATAGGATATTTGAATGTCTTTTTTAATTGTTATTTACTTAGCTTTTAATAACAATATAATTTTTCTAAATGAAACTGCATATTTTTATTACTGCCAAGTTATTAAACAGCTCAAGATGAATTGAATAACACATTTGGAAGTTCTGCTTGAACAATCATTTTTCGGAACATTATTTGAATATTCTCTCGTAGATCATACGTTATGGAAAAAACAAGCTAATTCGAATTGATATTTGCCAGAAATATTCAATTAAATTCGCATAAAACTTTCAAATATGTGATGAATTTGTTTTAAAATGCTTAATAACAGAGCAATAATAAAAATGTGTAGTCACGTTTAAAAAAATTACATTGTTATTATTAAACGTATTTAACAAGTCGTGTTTGTTATTTATCAGAAGCGATAATGAACGAATATGAACCGTTAACACTTTCTCCATGTGTACATATGATCCAAATTATGTCGTATTTGGTATCAGTTTAATCAGAAAAATCTCACCAATATACTAGTAAAAGTTTCATTAACAACGAATAAAAAATAAAAAAGTTTCATCGTTGCATTAGCGTTGCCTCACCGATACCCGTGAATATAATCTTTCTTTGAAGTGTTTCAGAAACGCTTTGATGCCAACAATAATATTATGCAATAAAAAATATGGGTTCCAATTTAAAAATTCAAAGTTGGCCTTTGTAGGCTTTTCCAAGGTCATCGTAAAGTCATATAAATGACAGCATAATATGTCCTCTACAAAACCATACAACTTCTACCTAACACATTTTTTTTCATATCATTCATATTTTTCGAGGTATTTATAACATTGTTATTTCAATCGTGCGAATTTTGTGCTTTTGTATAGCTGAGTTTACTTGATTAAATTATAAGGATTGAGGTGATTCTAATTCCTGTTAATTAAAAAGAACTCTTTTATGTTTTGTTTTGTTTTCAGAATTTAAGAATAAACATATCATATGTTTTATTTAAAAAAACATAACTTTGTACATGCCAATCATAATAGACGTCCGCAATAATAATAATAATAATAATGTCGATTACAGAGATTTTTCATATAGGGGTCATTCCACGCCAAGCAGATCACTTTTGTACACGATGTCTGGGATGATGTCCAAATTGAAATATGTTATATTTCATGTGAAAATAAGGAGGGGTTAAGTCATCATTGTGCTGCTTTCGAAATTATTTAAAACATACAGACCCTCAAAGTTGGTAGTTTTCACTGATTTTTACGAAAACTACCACCAGAAAGAATTTTTATCTCCGTAACTATTAAAGATAAGAACTTGATTCTTTTTTCATTGTGATCGTAAAGCATCGTTCTTTGTAACTAATTATTGTTTGCTTTGCCCCTAAAGTTATTTTTGCAATACAGGAATATTAAAAACATTTTTGTTTTGTAAATTCGATCCCTAGATCACAAATTTAAACGATTAAAAATAATGTGCCTGTATTTTCTTATCTTTTCTCTTTAAAATTAATTTTCTGAATTCGCGGGCACTCTAAAATTGTAGTCGCAGCAGGTCGACAAATGTCGCAGGGTCCACCGTTTCAGATAAGCACCGTGGCGCGCAGTAGAGCAAACTGCTCTTTTTTGTGTCAAAATCGTGGAACTTTTGATAGAAATAAGATAGAGAAATGAATCTTTTTCCATGTCAAAAGCTAAGATATTGTAGAATCAGGAAAAAATCTAGAAGTATCAGAAACAAGTTTTGACCTTGGAAATCTATGTCAAACGACATTTCTGAAGAAAATTGCGGTTTTTCCGCTATAATGTGTGGTTTAATTCTGCTCTTGACTTATTATACACCATATCTTATAGACTTGGACACGCTGAATTCAAATCTGACCGCAGAATTTATCTATCCCTTCAAAATTTTAAGAACAATGCGAGTTATGTGAAATGTTAATGTTAATTTTCTTCTGGTTTACATGCTTTGATAACACTTTAGTATAAACGTAGTCTGTATACATACGTTGACAACAAACCAAATGTAAACTAAAGCATTATCAAAGCATGTAAACCAAAATAAATACGATTTTTTTCACTAAAATCGCATTTTTTTCATTTCGAAATCAACAAAATGATGACTTAACCTAACCCTACACCTAACCCTACTATCGTGTACAAAACTGATCCGATTGGCATGGAGTGACCCATAGGATCTAACAAACCCCACGCGACTGACCATATGATTCCAAGGCACGTGACCAGTCAAAGGTTGAAAAACATTTGACGTGACATGTGTTCAAGTAGCTGCAAACTAATTCTAGCAAAACTAGGTTTGACAGTGGTAGTATTCGAACATATCACCGATACGCGGTTACAAAGCGATCCGTGATTTCTCAGCCGTGTACCTACCAAATTCCAATATTGACTTTTACCATACGTTAACAAGAACGGTTTTCCCGAATTGCAAGAGTGGTACCCGGTGTTCCATCGTTTGTGGATTGCAGCAATTCGTGTGGAGCGAATTCTCCGAGGAATACAAGCCGACCGAGCGCAGGGAGACCTTCTATCCGAGCGTGGTACTCGCCGACCGATTATACGAGTTAAAAATCACGGATTTACCGACGATCCCGTATTTTCCGGTCAGCACGCACCTCGAATGGACGGACTTCCGCTATTACGGGCTGCGAAGTGCAAACGCCTACGTACTCGTATTTGATCTCAGCAATCAGGACACGTTTCAGGTATGTAGACATTTGCACCGTTAATTTTCAGACTGTACCATGCCCCAGCTGCTTTTAACGTTTAACCATCAATTACGATTCGTAAAATAGTTCTCGTTTAATGTAATCGTCAAGTGAATTACGTGTACGTTAACACGTTGTGCACAATGTGAAAAGGGAATTATTATTCAAGGTAGAAATTAACCCCTCGTGTACGGTGCCGGAGTCTGACGTCATGCGCTCGCGAGAGATCATCATTAAATATTATATATATTATATTATATATATTTAATAAAACTCGTAGTAAGCAACTATCTCTGCTCATATTTATGTTTATAAATACTAGTACTGTTTTGTATATATTTTCTTACGGATATATGATAATAAGAATTTACGAAACTGTAGGAGGCAATTTCATAAATCTAATGGATTTGGAATGAAATGCTCGTCATTTTTTGTCATTGTGTAAATTTGAATAAGTTGTAAAATAGAGTTATACAAAATTGTTTTGTTATAAACAAATGGTATTTTGGACAATTTGTTAGCACCATATTATTGTACATGAAAACCATAAAACACACCCATTAGAAGTTTTCATTTATCTCCTCTGGTTTTTGAGATAGTATTTCTGGGTCGAAAAACTTTGGGGGGTGGTTTCACCCCCTTAACGTGAATGTTAGCCGATAAAAACAATACGTGTCCCTTATTTGTGCTTGCTTAACAAACGTGCGAAGTTTCATTGAAGTCGGCGTCTCCGGGTTGGGAAACCTTCCTTGTGAGTTTCACGAATTTCGCCAAATAGTGTAGCAGGTAGCAGATTCATTATGATCTTCCAGCATCCTGCACTATTTTCGATGAAAAGTTTGAAAAATATTTGTAAGTTACAATATATTCCTTTATAACTAATAAACAATAGTGGCTTAGTTATTGGTAGATCTAATAGAGCGCCTGTATATCGTTCATAAATATAACAATATGAAAAACCACATATAACGAAAATTACATCAAAAAGCCAAATCTCATGAAGATATATTGTTCAAAATGAGGAATAGAATCTAAATTGAAGAAAATGAAAAATAGACTTGATACAACTGATACAACCCATTCTCAAAAAATAACAATTTGTTATTGAGTAGATGGAAAAGTAAAAAATGCTGAAAAATTTGTTTCTACATATGTGGTCACAACAATGAAGTGGTATAATATCTTATTATCACAATCGTTAATGTGCAAACAGACATTTTTCACCCTATAACATTTTACAAAATTTTGCAGACTTCTAAACAATAATATCTGCAGTAGTGAATCACCCCCCGAAAAAAATAACACAATTATAATGTGTCCTTTTACAAGCGCAAATGTGCAACTACTTTTTTTCTCGTGCAGACTTGGTCCAAAATACATTTTAAACTGTTCTTTTTTTTCTTTCACAGTATATTAGAACGTTACGAGAACAAATTTACGAAGCACGAGACATGAGGGGTGTACCGTTATTAGTAGTTGGAAACAAGCAAGACGAATTATCGCCTGCGGTTGCTTCCGGAACTAGGTACAGGGATATCGTCAATCTTGTCCGGAAGCACTGGCGATGTGGCTATGTCGAGTGTAGCGCCAGATTTAACTGCCGTGTCGTACAGGTATGTACAATATAAACCTTCATCTTTCCGTGACACATCTATCACGAGTATTTTCGTGATCGATTAATTTCCTATCACAGTCTTTTTCCAGAAGTTAGATTTTTGTTTAAATGAACTCCAAAGTATATGCGTGTGTTAGATTATGTATAGATGCTTTATAATGTAGACCATAAATATGCATATAAAATTTCAAGTGATCCACTTGGCACAAAAATATTTTATCCAGGTGTTCTAAGACGTATTATTCTCATTGCATACAACATAATACATAGACATTCCATTAAAAGTTTCCGTACTAAAATTAAAACAGTATTTTTTAATAAGAATTAAATTTTACTATGCTATCGTAAGGTATTCTTACGATTCGTATCGCTGCATCACGTGCATGTCTTATCGTTTCTGAACTTATTCTAGCACATGCTGTATTATTTCATAGTTTTACATAAACGAATGGTCTTGTAACATTGTTTATGTTGTGGCAATACATCGCATATAGCTAAAAATGTAAACATCTCATCAATTCGTAACATTAACATGAATCGGTAGTCAGTCTCGGTCGATTGCTAAGTCAAGTAGCTGCGTGATCATCAAAATGAAGTTTTCTTTCGAAGAGCAAGTGAATATGATCCTCATTTATAGAAAACTGCGACAAAATTCGATAAGAGCTCGATCCTTGTATGCTGAACGATATTCAAACCGTACTCATCCTTCGCACCGAACATTTCAAACATTGTGCAAAAAATTGAAAGAAACCAGAAATTTAATTTAATGTCAATTAATTGATTAATGTTTCATTTAATGTTAATTAATTGAAAATAAATTTAACCGTCCCTCCACCTCCTCAGACAACGTCGGGGGGTGGGGGCACCTCCCGACACCGTTGCATGCTGAACTGGTCACGACAGGAGTGACATCCCCATTGTCATCCCCCAGTTCCGTTGCTCCGCGACCATCACTAGGGGTCACCGCGACTGTGACCCTCTGAACTTGCGTGCTCACACAGCAACCCCGTCACCAGACTCGCGGTACCCCGTGCACCGCCGTTCAATGGGAGGGGGGATTGTACGTGCTATGGGGCCCTGGGTCCACCTGTACCAATCCCCCCTCCCAGGAGAGGCAGGGCTCCCACCGAAGCAGCAGTAAGCTGCCGCCTCCGAACCCTCCTCTCCGCTCTCCTCAATCAACGAACGGGTTCGATCCTCTCCCGCACCCGCTCGTCGGCCTCCTTCCGCGAGATTACTTTCTCGCAGTAGGAGGCCACCGCCTTCCAGAACCCCTCGTCGCTGACCATGGCCTCCACCACAGCCCGCAACGAGAGGTCCCACCCAATTGCCCGTCGGAGGTCCCGCCACTCTCCGGCGAACGACGGACACTCCTCCAGAACGTGCTGCGCGGAGTCCACAGCCTCTCCGGCATTCCGCCATCGTCGCCGCCCCTATCCTGTGCAGATACTCACCGAAGCAACCGTGGCCACGGTCCAGCCATGCATTCAGGCACGGCAGGACCGCCCCGACCGCCCGCTTTCGCGCGGCGGCGCTTCCCTCGAGCTGCATCCGCCACGCTCGGCGGGCAATCTCCCGGATCCGGCGCGTCTAGCCTTCCACCACGTCCGGCGGCGGGGGATGCCCCGCCGGACGGTAGGCCTCACGACGCCGATACACGACGGCATCTGTCTCCGCTTGCAGCTCAAACGGGACAACCCCCACCAACACCATGGCCGCCTCGTGGGAGATGGTGCGGTACCCCCTGACGAGTCTGATGGCCATCCTCCGCTGTAAAGTGCGGAGGATTTGCCGTCGTCGACGGCAGCGGTCCACCAGCTCGCCAGCCCACACGGGCGACCCGTATAGAGCCATTGACCGCACCACCCCTCCGTCCGTCAACACCTGTCCCTTTAGTAGCTGTCGAAGTCGGCTTTCCGACCAGAAATGCCGAGATTACGCGATCCTTGATCTTTGTATACGGGTTAGTTACGCCACCATTCGTAACCAAATCGTTGAAGCTCGCTATACCTAAAATCGACCTTCGTCTGTTCGTCGACAATGGGCGCGTTACGAAACGTTGCTTCTACGCGCGAAAACCAAAACGCCGGATCCTTACGAAAGAACGCGGGTATCTTCGGCACACGGTACGAGTCGATACGCGGTTGTTGCTGATCCTGCAAATGTCGCGTCGCGATTTCGAGCTCTCCTTGAGTTTGCATTGACTGGTCTGCGAGCGACTGGCCGTTCTCCCCTTCCGCCATTATGCGCGATATCGCTACTCTAACCTAATTAAGGATTTAAACGAGCAACAACGACTCAACGCTCAGGTGACGCTGGTACACGCGCGCGCATACAATAAGAAAGAACCAATATGGCGGCGCCTCGAAACAAAGATGGCAGTTTCTTTGTCCGCGCGTCTCGCAAACGAAAAATGGCCGTTCGTCGGCAACCACGCACCGGTAACTAGAAATTTTTCTAGAAGATCCCTATTTTTCGATCAGCTTCGCTATCACCTTGTTAACGCTACCTTGGCACCGAAAGGCCGCTACCTCCTCCCTGCTTCCTCAGGAAAACGCTCCTCAGCTCTCGACGGTGAAATCACGTCGCGGTCACCAATGTAGGATGGACTGGGGGTCACTCGACCGCAGGGCAGTCCTACTTCTGCCGTGTTCTCAATTGGAAGCTTTTCCTTCGTGGCTGTGATGAGGGTGGTGAAATGACGAGTTCATCCATCAGCGTGGTGTAAACAAAATAGTATTTTATTTTGTGACTGAACACATGTGGGTATCACAGCGGTTCTAGTGACGAGCACCATCGACTAAATTAAACTATCGACTAATGATTATTTAGTCGCAACATACTATCGACTATTTAGTCGACTGAAATTTTGCTTTATAGGTTATGTATAGATTATGTCATCAACTTTTCAGCACCATTGGTGCATTTACCTTTGGAAATGTATTAGTTCATAGATAGAATTTCAAAAATGTAAGTGGTACACAAGTTTTTTTAAACAATTACCAATATTCGATTTTTTGTAAGCTATTTAATATTGGCAGTTAAAAACTTAACTGCTCTAAATTTTGTATGAAAATCAATTAGGTTATAAGCAATAATTTGCACAGTTCTTGGTCATGCATAAAAACATAAATGGAAAAATTACAATTCGTTTGCATCGCGACGAAAATAATCAAGATCCAGTCAATAGCGATCAATAGCTCGATAGTTCGAGCGTGTCGCTTGAAGCGACTAAATTTAATCGACTAAAGTAGTCGCTTCAAGCGACTAATATTAGTCGCCTGAAAGTAATCGCTTCAAGCGACTAAAGTAGTCGACGATTGAAAAAATTAGTCGACTGAAAATAGTCGTTGGTTACTATCGACTTATGTTAGTCGATAGCTTTTAGTCGATGGTGCCCATTACTAAGCGGTTCTCGTAGCACACGCTACCGTTCAATGTGACTCTTAAAACTCAAATGGGGAACTCCCGCCACTGTCGCTACTGTCGCGTTGCTACGCTGCCAACTGTCGCTATTCCCCACTCCGTCGGTCGGAGTGAAGTTGGCAGCGAGCCCCTACAGTAAATCCCAATACCCTTCCGCTTTCGTAGCCGAGGCTCGGACTTCGCGCGTAAAACAAATTTATGAGGTGCTGACGACTTTTTACTTCTCACGTGTAAGTTCCGTCGCGGAAACGAGCCCCACACACCCAACAAAGATTCTCTGTATACAATTTGTATAGCGACATAACGTATAAATAACCATTTTTATTGCTGCATTTTCTCTATTTAAAAACGTGCAAAAATATCCTACATTGCAGACATTACAGAATTTTTTCCAATTTTTCGGTTGAAGATTCTAGTTGAAATATATTAAACACCCTAATAGATGGCCAAGGAAAATGCGGTTGATCTAGTGGCTTAATTTGAGGTCCCAGTAACTGGCCATGTATTTTATAGTTGATTAAAATCAGTTTTAAGGACCATATTATTTTATTCAGTATATTAGTAGGCCACATTTTTTTCCCAGTTTTTTGGTTACCACGTCGTGGGAACGAGTTTTACTCCTTCGCTTGCTCAAGAGATACCGAAAACGTAAGGGCGTTTTCCTTTGCCGGGTGCGAGCTCGGACTATTAGAGCGAGAAGTATCATAGAAAATTCTTCATACGTAACAAAGTACATAAGGCTGAGGAAAGATATTCGTAAAACCAAGTTTTACTGCATCAATAAAGTATTTAGTTTTACTATTAACATTTAATAGTAAAATAAAAACCCGGTTTCGATCATCGCATTTTCACCACCTTGAAGGAGCAACAGAAATGTTCCCAGAATTTATACAGTTGAAGTATCGAGTGTATTTCTTTAACAGGAAATTAATTATTTCTAATAAAAGCCGTCAATACCTCCCATAATTCGTAACACACTAGCGTTCAACCATATCTAATCATTTGTGACACATGCACTTAAGAAAACAGAACACAATGCATGCAGATAAATTCTTTTAATATGTACAAATACATTTTATATATTAGACATGCAAAGAATCGTCATATAATGACAATCGTCATTAATGTCTTGCTAGTGAATGTTGTATGTATGTAATTCCTCAATAGATGTAGCATTTGAGATTGACAATACTGACTTAATATTATGAATATACTGCAGTACACTCAAATCATATTTAACAAACACATTACAAATTATAACATTAACAATAACCTCCGCCTGAAACTTAACTATTACCGGTACTAACAGAATTCAATTTTTATTTCTTCTCTTCTCTCTTCAAAAATTGCCCATTATTTTTCTAGGTGACGTATCTTATTAATCTTTCTAGTTTTGTAAAGTTTGTTAAAAAATAAATGTCCCTTTTGAACAATTTTTGAAAAATGCAGACAAAAAAATATTTTGCAAATATGGAGCACTGGTTATCATCTTACCTAAATAGATAATACTAAATCATATATAGTAGATATGATCAACTTAGAAAAAGTTCTGCGTGCTAAAAGAATACATTT